GTGTTGAGTCTAAAGAGATGGAAGGAATATTTTGAAAGCGTATTTATGAGTGAGGAGAAGTGTGAACTAAATGAAATAGAAATTCCGAAAGAGGATTAAAGAGATAGGTAGATAAGTATAGATGAAATAATGAAAGCAATGAAAAGCATGAAAGTAGGTAAGGCAGCCGGATATGATAGAGTTTCACTCGAAATGCTAAGGGCTGGAGAGGACGTGGTGGCAGGCCTGCTGTACACCTTGTTTAATTTACAAAGCCGTGATAGTCCCAATATATAAGGCAAAAGGTTCACAGCAGGACTGTAAAAACTACCGTGGTATCAGCCTTCTTAGCATTGGGGGAAAACTGTATGCTAAGGTATTAATTGAAAGAGTTATGAAAGAAACTGATGAAAAAATTTGGGATGTGCAAGCGGGATTTAGAAAGGGAATGGGGTGTACAGATCAAGTCTTTTCCATGCGCATGATAGCGGAGAAGTTTTTGGCGAAAAACCAAAAAGTTTTTTGTGCGTTCATGGACTTGAAAAAGGCTTAAGACAGAGTGGACAGGGATGTGTTATGGCAAACGCTGAGCGCATTTAGGTTGAGCGCTGGTTTGATACAGGCATTAAAATCTCTGTATAGGGACTCGAGTGCTGGTGTTAGAATCAACGGGGTCTACTCGGACTGGTTTAGCATCCATAAAGGTGTCAGACAGGGCTGTGTGGCTTCCCCGTGGCTGTTCAATCTATTTATGGACAGCTGTTTGGAAAATTTGAAAGTTGAAGAATGCGGGTTAAGAATGGGTGAGTTAACCATCAAATGCCTTTTGTACGCCGATGATTAAGTCATACTTGCGTCGTCGGCGGCCGAGTTGCAAATAATGGTTACATTAATGAATAGGTCATTAAAAGAAAGGGGAATGAAAGTGAACGCAAGTAAGACGAAAGTGATGGTTTTTGAAAGAGAAGAAAGCAAAACGGTATGTGAAATAAGAATAGAAGGAGAGTTAATTGAGCAAGTGGATGAGTTCGTATATTTGTGATGTGTATTCAGCAGGGATGGGAGATATGATAAGGATATTGAACGACGATTGAATGCAGGTAATAAAGTAAATGGGGCTCTACACTCTATTGTGAAAAGTCAGAATGTGTCAAAAAAGGCACGTATGGCAATTCACAGTGCTGTATTAGTCCCTACTTTAACGTATGGTAGTGAAAGTTGGGTGTGGCAGAAGAAGCACGAGAGTAGAATAAATGCAGTAGAAATGCGGTCGCTAAGGAGTATGTTAGGACTGAATCTGAATGACAGGGTAAGAAATTGTGTAATAAGAGAAGAGTGTGGTTTGCAAGATGATGTTGTGACAAGGATTAAGAAAGGAATGCTTCGGTGGTTTGGTCATGTGGAAAGAATGAATGAGGAAAGAGTGACAAAGAAAATTTATGTTGCAGAAGTGAATGGCAGAGTCGGAAAGGGACGTCCTAGGCGAAAATTTATCGACCAAATTGGCGATTTATTGGAAACGGGCCAAATTAGGAGTACCCTTAACCGACGAGCATGTATGCGTAGGTGTATGGATGTGAAGGAGGCGAGAGAGGTGAGAAACTGTGTGATAAAAGAAGAGTGTGGTTTGCAAGATGATGCGGTGACCAGGATTAAGAAAGGAATGCTTCGGTGGTTTGGTCATGTAGAAAGAATGAATGCGGAAAGACTGACAAAGCAAATATATGTTGCAGAAGTGAATGGAAGAGTCCGAAAGGGACGTCCTAGACGGAAGTTTGTCGACCAAATTGGCGATATACTAAAAATGGGCCAAATTAAGAGTACCCTTAACCGACGAGCATGTATGCGTAGGTATATGGATGTGGAAGAGGTGAGAAAGGTATGTCAGGATCGTGCTAAATGGAAGTCTGTAGTCTTTGCCTACCCATCTGGGTGACAGGCGTGAGTGTTTATGTATGTATGTATTATGTAAATAAAAATGAAAGTGAAACTCGAAATATTTGTGCATTCCACGACTATGTAAACGAGTGCGATGTAACTATCGGGCTAACGAATGTAAGTAAACACAGAATATTAAGGGCCTATACTACCACAGCTCAAATTCTAATTTCACTCCCACTTCCCCGCGAGTCGTATTTCATATACCGACATGTTTGTAATCACTAATACTTACAGTATTAAACAAACATATCGTGACACAAACACATATTTCATTGCGTTTATCATATTTATGCCTGTTTATTTACGCCAACCCAGTCGCTTCTTATTTTTATTACGGTTATTTTCCATTTTAATTTTCGTCGTTCTGTTGCGTAATGTGAATTTTGACACAGAATTCCTCTTCGAAAGCCAAATCGAGAGTAAGTGGGGTTATCGGGCGACAGATAACAAGCTTCCGGACACCGATAGTTTAGGTAATTTCTTTTTACAGTGAAAAGAGTGTTAACTTAAAAAAATAAAAATACATAAGCTCTCCTTTATAGTTTGTTCAGTTAGTATGCAGTTTTATGATGTAATTTAAAGTATTTTGTGAATACCAGCGGTTTATTGTTCGGTTTGGAGGTAAATTAGGTTTTTTTTTTCTATCGAGAAAATTTTACGGAATTGTGTTTTCGTCTAACATAATACTTAACATTAATACCCAACTTTACCATATTTTTATTTCAAAATTAATGCTGCAATGTTTTCGGCATATCGGAGGATGTTGTTAAGGCATTTGAGGTAGTATAGGCCCTTAACACAATCAAATTTTAATCCTATGTACTGGAAATAAGATGTAAGAATTATTTGTGCAAAGCCCTTACCTGTTTTCCTGACAGCACTGGCACTATTACTTACAACTTTTTCCTCATATGTAATGAAAAAGGTACACACCGTACGTTTACGAGTAGCTTCACATTCACGCTTTAATTCATAAATTAATTGCATTCACAATTATATTTCCAAATGCCTTTTTATAGAACAAGGGTGACAAACATGCACTCACTACACCTTATGGTAAGTGATTGTGTAGCCCACAGACATCTACATTTATCCTTGATTACGAATCAAAACGGAGTTGTGTTGTCACCCCTGAGGACTAAGATGGAATGCCTCGTTTCCAGTAAAAGGGCTCTCCGGTTCTCTACAATCACCATACGAAACACTGCAGTATTAGAAGCCATCAAGAGGATGCTGCTTCACATCTTCTAACTTATTACACTCTGTCGCCTTTTACGCCACCCACGAAAAAATAAAGAACTCTCAAAAAGTTGATCACAGATGACCACAGTAGAACATGCGAAAAGCACGAAGTGCTCAATAATAATGGCTACACTACTATTTCATAAATGGTAGAGTCATGCTGCAGCTATGTTTTGGTTGTAGCACGAATGGGTTGGCTAGACCGACGTAGGACCACGATCTCACAGAATACGTGACGTGGGTGCGGAGAACCGGAGACCTGTTTTACTGGAATCAAGGCATTACATCTTAGTACCCAGGGATGACAACGCATCTGCGTTTTGATTATTGATCAAGGATAAATGCAAACGCAGTGTGCTCGTTTGTCACCCTAATTAATACTAATTATACTACTTTGTTTGACTAGTTATGTCACTCGTTTGTTTAACTAGCGATCTACTAACTACTAACTAGCTCAAATTTTAAAGTATGTAACCATAAATCCTATACCTTTAAACGAGCAATTCTTGTATATATATATATATATATATATTTTTCAGATGATAAATGCAGATGTATATGGCCTACAGCATCCATTTACCATCAGGTGGACTGTGTGCTCGTTTTTCACCCTTATTCTATGAAGAAGTAGAGCGTCATATAAGGGTCGTCGTAGATATCAAGTGTAGCTAAATTGAAGCAGTAGCCATTTTTGCCTTTATGAGTGACTAAATCCAGTAAAAATTGCATGTCAGTATAGACTCCCTTAGAGAAAAATTTAAATTTTCTCTTTGCCTCGCAACATGTTTATTAAAAACATAAATAGCTTTCATAAGAACAAAGATATTAATACTTTAAATTCTATGAACAAACTTTTTTTTTTTTTTTCGGAATACGGCTCCAGTTCGGGGGCAATAAATCGATTTAGCTAGGATTTATTTTTAGAAAATGTCCCTTTGTCCGTGTTTTCAGGCAATAAAAAAACTGCTACAATATAAGAAGGTAAATTTTGACAGGTTACTAACGATCGTAATAGCTCAGATGGGATGTTGTTCGGGCGTGATATCGGTGTTCCGTGGTTCGCGTCCCGTCTTGAGTCCGACTTTTTTTCCTTTTTTTTTAAGTTCCCTTCTTTTGTGAGAAAATCTATTATTTCGAGCCCTTTTTTATTATTTTTTTAAAAATAAGAAAATTTTTATTAATCTAATTGCACTCATGATTTTTTATTCAAATAACCAATTCAGTTTTTTCTATTATGTCAATAACATCAAAAACTATTATTCATGTAATTTGTATATAAATGTAACTTAAAAAAACCGAGCAAAGCTCGGTCATCCGGGTACTAACTATTTAAAAATAACAAATATTTATTCGTATTTCTATTACATTAAAATAACCTCCGGAGTTCGATAAAAGGCAGTAGTTTCGATATTCGTAACAGGCATATTTATGCTATGTTAAACAACTTTTAGGGCAAATAATTTAATTTTAATTTAAAGTTACTGTATTTATTAAAATTCAATATAAATCTCATGAAAATCACCCCAATATTAATTTCTTTTTTCTTTACTTTCTTTCTTGAAGGAGTTAAAGGTGTAATCAAAGATGATGAAAGGTATAGACTTAGATGGAACTTTAACAAGTTAGTAAGTTTAAGTCTGTGGTAAGATAGTTTGAAGTGATAACGATATTTAAGGTTTAGAATATATTTCTTCTGTATATTTTGGAATTTTTTTCTACAATTCAAGTCATGTTTGATAAAAAAAAACTGAAACAACGTTTGAACTTGAACATTCTATGTGGGTGGGGCCTATTTTCAGCACTGTTCTATAAAAAATAGACTGAAAAAAAACTCATACCATTTTAAACCAGTCTTTGACGAGTACATTCGGTTCGGAGGATGTTGCCGATGGGTTATAATCGTTCTTGAAGAAGTCCGGCAAATTCTTCGTCTGGAACAGACCACGTATCTTTTCCGTATACTTCACCCGGTTGGTCGGGCACTTCTTCATCGCTGGCGGTGCCATGATCCCTGGGATAAAAGCAAAAGTAAAATAACAGCCTATAAATATATGTTGAAATAGAATGAAATAAAATAGAATAAATTTTATTTAACACATTAATTAAAAGTTTTACGTGGTAGCTGCAGTTATATTAGAGATGTAGCTCGAATGGGTCAGCTCATTTAGGGTAGGACAAAACTGTCGCGGAATACAAGTGTAAGATAGCAGCTTAATACTGTTGTGTTTAGTGTGGTGAGTGTTCAGAATTGGAGACCCTTTTAACTACAAACAAAAAAAGCAAATAAAAGGGCTTCGCTCTCACAGAATACTTACTAGGCCATTTTAATAATCAATTCAATAAAGTATCTTTGAACTGAGAACATGTTTCTTTGACTAGTACTAGTAAAGATCACTAGCCACGCCAGAGTACCTTACAATGAGACGCATAACAATTAGTTTTAACTTCACTTTATTATTAACATTAATTTTGAAGGGTTTAAGGAAATAATAATAAAAAATATAATAGTAAAAATAAAAATGTCCTTTGGAGTGAATTTCGGTCACGGCGGTCGATCTCAAAGGAGGTTAGCAAAGAACCATGTCCAATTTCGACCTAAAAATTTTCTAATGCATCTAGTGATCTAAAATATCTTATAAAGTTGCCTTTATTTGTCTTATTTCGTATCGCATAAATGAATTTTCCAATAAAGCCGGGAAAAAAGTATTATCATTCTCAATAGACTTCTGAAGCCGTGACGCGTATTACAATGACTTTAAAGCCCAGAAGCGAAACCAATATATATATTTAAAAAATTTGATTTACACATTTAGTTTCACATACTACGAAAATATTATTAATTTGTCATGTCGTTTATGAATATTCAAAATAACTAATTGTTTTTTTGTTATTTATCTTATTATTTTATGATTAGATATGATTTTTTGTGGTTTTATAATATGGTGTGGAAACTTATTTTTCTTTCCACACCATAGTGTACAGTTGACAGGTGACCTGAAAAACTTATTTATTTTATAGCATTTTTCTTTGGCCTCTAAATAAAAAGGTGATAAGTTATTATGTTAAAAGAAACAATAATCGATTTTATGCAACAGTAGTTATAGGTAGACGTGACCTGTAAAAGGAATCAAGTGACAGGTCAATCAATGTATGGAAAGTGGGCATACTCCTTTGCGCAGGACAGAATTATAGTACACGAGCGTGTGCGCAAACACAGACGCACTCTGTGTTTCTTCACTCATTAGACTTGTTTGACGGCAATCCGACGCAACTGGAGAGAGATCAGGCACAGGACAAGCACATTTGTCACGCTTTTTGAAGCACGGAAGTTAAACACCATAAACTTCCTGACACTGGGCTGCTATTGAGATTTTCTTGACGGAAAGACTCAGTGACTGGTTTTTTTACTCGACTTTGGATTTGAACCCATAGACACCTGATCCGCAGTTGTACTTACCACCACTAAACCAACGAGGTAGTTCAAATTCATACAGTAAAACCTTATTTTCTGCAATGAGACGATGATTTTCCTTTTCTTTAATTATACCTTTGTTATATATGGATTGTTTTGATTTAATGTTTAAATAAAAGATAAAGTAAAATACTACTATTTTATCAATAATGCCCGTTACAAAGTAGACTATAACTTAGTTTCCTTAAATAGTTTTTTAACTTAATTGGCAAGAATAGGGATAAGTAGAAAAAAGTATATTATTTATTTATTTATTACAATTTGCATGCCACAAGAAATACATTATATGTATATCAAATGAAGCCCGTAAAGGTATTGCAATTTAAAAGAGGGTAGTTTTAGTTTTGAATACTAAATATTAACTACTTGTATACTACATTGTTAAATTCATGTTATAGATATAGAAGACTTTTACACAGTTTATTTATATTTTTTACTTATTTTACCAATGATTGACTGACTACTCTGTACCACCTGGTGGAAAGTAGTGATAAAGCTCTAAATAGTCTCTCTTGCCTTAAAGACACCCAGATTGTATTCGGTTAAAAAGACACGCCGGAAAATCAATCCAATCCTTTGCCGTACGCGTTATAGAAGAAGAAGCAAACCAAATATATCTACTAAATGTCTTTAAATAACACATCGGTATTTAATAGAAGACAACACTAAAAATACACAGCTGTTCGACACCGAAGCTGTACAATGGCAACCGGTAACACTCGTTATCTGTACTTAGCATTGATAATGGACAAGTGCGACGCGGCAGCGGTTTAACCGAGCAGTTGATAAGATGAGTTCCAATATACTAAATTACATAATATAAAAATTCTAAAACTGAAATAATTTATACGCGGCAGAGCCACACTGCAGCTTTATAACGGTTGTAGCAAGAATGGGTCGGCTCGCCTGGGGTAGGATCACGCTCTCACACAATACTAGCGTAAAATAACAGCTTAATGATGTTGTGTTTCGTGTGGTGAGTGTAGAGAACCAGAATCCTTTTATACTGACAACGAGGCATTCTTTCATGGTCTTAGATGACAACGCATTTTAATTTTAATTCTTAATAGAGTATAGATAGATATAGATGTCTTTTTATTGTCGACTCCAAAGAGTCAGTAGTTCCTTCATGGGACAATGTAAAATATACGTTCTCATAACAAATTTCCCATAAAATGTGCGGATCTTATCTATCAAAAGGTTTAAAATATTTATTAAGCAAAAATGGTTTAGTAAGGGGGTCATTATCAATCATATACTATTTATTATACTAATAAATAGTATATGATTGATAATGAATTGAATTATCAATCATATACTATTTATTATACTAATAAATAGTATATGATTGATAATGACCCCCGAGAATAAGGTGATCGCTACCGTGCTATTTCTTAATGTTTTCATAATAATTGTATAAAATATTGTATTGTAAACTGTGCTTTTAAAAAAAATCCTGCTGGGTTTCTTGCTGGTTCTTCCCAAGGCAAAAGTATTTTTCCGAACCAGTAGTAAAAGTAAAAAATAACTTTAAATAAATATTACATATAATCTATATTGAATAAGAATTATTCTATTATATTATATTCTAATTATAGCATTGTAATAAGTATTACTCGGTTTAATTTTGGATATTTGGCAGAACCGTAAAGGATCTGCCAAAAGCAATTTGTGATATAAACAAGGACGTAGCATGTATTCTTGACTGGAGTCGATCTTATGGGTTAACTGTTAATCCGATAAAATCCCAAGCTATTATTATTGTTAGTTCAAGAATAATCTCCAAATTAAATAAAACTCAGTTAAACCCTATAACATTTAACGGTGTTCAAATTTCTTATAAGGATGTAGTGAAAAACTTGGGAATCTTGATAGATTCTAATCTTTCTTGGTCCCTTCAAATCACCGCAGTGTCTCGTAAAATTTTTGCAGCTTATGGTTCACTCCGAAGAATGAATTACTTCTTACCCATCTCCACCAAAATTATGCTTGCCCAATCTTTACTGTTCCCCATTCTCGATTATGCTGACATAAGCTATCTAGACATTACCGAAGAGCAACTTAACAAACTTGAGCGACTCCAAAATCTATGTATAAGGTTCATATTTGGACTTCGTAAATATGACCATGTAACAGAATACCGCACTAAGCTCAAGTGGCTTCCAATCCGTCTTCGTCGGAATTTTATTTAGTATATCGAGTCCTCCCTACCTTAAAGAACGTTTCCAATTTCTCAGCTCCTCTCACAAACTTCCCTTCGATCCTTAGAAAACCTTTCCCTTCTATGTCCCTTGCACTCTTCTACATTTTACAGTAAATCTTTTTCAGTCCTTGGAGTTAAGCTTTGGAATTTCTTACCATTAACTATAAAACGTGCTCAAACAATAGACTCCTTTAAAAACCAAGTTAAAAAACATTATTTTTCCTACTAAATCATCCCTCCTCCTTTTATCTATTCCTGTCGTTTTACGATCACTCGTCTGTCAATTAAGTAAATTCCGGCATGTTTATCAAATTTCTTTTATATTTATAGATTACAATATTATTTATAGTGCACTCTACCCGTTACTTAACTTTTCACATATTTTTATTTCCTATTTAGGTTGTCTGGAAGGATTGCTGCATAGCAATAAGACCGCCTTTTGTTTTTCTCTTTGTTTGTTTCTTGTTATGTTGTATTTTAGTGTTCAATAAAGGGTATTGTATTGTATATAAACTAAAACTAAAACTCTTAAACTCTAATTAAATCAATGTGCTCATAGTTTTAATTATATTTATGTTTTTGTGATTAAAAACAATTATTGGCATATTGCAAAAATATTTGCTGATATATTAATATGCCATATATCCTAAAATTTATTTTAATTAAAATAAAAGAACAATCTACATACTAAATCCAAATTTTACTTGAGAATGGCTAGCCTTGTTGATGACTACCCTGTTGGACTGAATTGATGATATGTTTCGTGTGTGTTTGCGTGGATTCCTGAATAGTTTAGATTCACAATCGAATTCGAAAAATTGTGTAAATGTAGTTAAAATTAGTCGGGAGTACTTCATAAAGATTCTGGCCACATCGCAGTTTCAGCATTCCGTATTCTATCGTCGAGTGTGCACCTTACATTTACAATTTTAATATGATTACATACTTTTACACATAATTTATTCGCTGTATATTCTATTTTCCTTCCATAGATAGGGTAGCCTCCCCAACGATATTCTAAATTGTACTATGCCGAAATTTTGTGAGGAATTAGTGATAATTAAAGACTTACGAAAAATATTATTGATTTAATACTTTGGGAGATATATCCCTTTCTTGGGAGGATTCTAACTTGAATTAAAGCTTTTGCATGCGTATCAGACCTAATATAAAAGTTTCCGTCCTGTTGCATGCCTCGTTAGTCTAGTTGTAAATGTGATAGCTTATCATAAAGTCCCGGTTTCAAATCCCAGGTCAGTCCAAAATCATTATTGGGTTTTTCTGTCAAAACATTTTTAGTGGCAGTCCGGAGTCAGAAAATTGGCCATGTTTTAAC